TTGATTGGGACATCAATTGATGATAGTCAACGATTCAAAGAATTTGCCAAAGCATTGGTCGCTGAACGAGAGAAAAATTATTGCATTTGATTTTAAGGCTTTAAATTTAAGTAAATACTGTGCTAGTTTTAAACTAATGGATACAAAATCCATGTTAGAAGTTTAAGTTTCATTGCTGGACCAATACACCTGACGAATGAACACACTAGATAAAAAAAAATATTTTCGATTCAAAATATGCCGTACATTATCGTTGAGTATACACAATATTGTTGGAAACAGGACTGTTATTGGCACCGATTTCTGGCACAAGTGACTGCCCGCACTTTTTCCATATAATTTCTCAGGTGAATATCTGAATACAAGAAAGGGCATCCATGGCGCCAATAACAGTTCTGGTTGGAAGGCATCACACTAATTAGTTTAAATTTCACTAAATTCAGGCAATTTATTTTATCATAGCATTCAATGATACATAAGAATATTATGTAAAACGGTCAAAGTTAACAAAACAGTCTTAAATAAAAAACAATCCCATTTACAGTATTAATCAGTGAAAATCACTATCAGTCTATTCAATTCAATAATTTCGTCGTATTTTTTCGTTTTGTATTGAAGGCAACTCAAGCATTGATCTCAGTTCCCTTCAGACTCTGAATCACCATAGCTATTGAAGCTGTGTTTGATATTGTGTATTTTGGCAAGAAAATAAGATTCACAAGACTTTATAGTGATTAAATTACTTCAAACAAAGATTTATTGCGTTTAGTTGATTCGAAATTGATAGGACTTTTTTCTCAAAATTTGTAGTTGTAGAAATTTAATCACAGTGAAAACTTGTAAATCTCATTTTCTTGCCAAACTACATATTCTTACCAGTAAAGTACCCAAAGTGTCACAAAAAGTTATCAATTTCACCTATATAGATCGATGTAAAGTGCCGAGAAAATAGGTTTGTGAAAATAAGGGCTGCCCGATCGGGGTATTGGGGGCAGGGGAGTACCCCACCATGTCAAAATTTGGTCGGATAAAAAAACAATGTGCTACATAGTTGTTAAGAATCACGAGAGAAATTTTTTAGGACCTCTGCCCTCCAAGTCTCCCCACCCCGCAGGGGGTCGGGGGTCATAACCCCTCAAGGTATGATTTTTTCGACCTAAAACCCGAAAATTCCCATTTTTATATTATTCTGACCCCCGCCCTACGAATTGGGTCATTCAGTGCAGCCAAAACTATATGCCAATAGAAACTACATTGGTATGCGTAACTTTCATGGGAAGGAACACGTATGCCCATTTGATTCATAAGGGGTGAATAACCCATTGTGAAGTTACAATGAAATGGGGTATTTTCACTTTTCGAGCCGAATTGAAAGTACACTATAATGATGGAAAAGACTAGAACTTATTAACATATTCAAATTCACAAAATATCAAAAGGAAAATCAAATTTTCGTTATGCATGTTTAATGTTTAATGATTTTTTTTTAAGCAATCTAAATATGAGTTAAGTATTGTATGTACAAATTAAAATTGAATTTTTATATTTTTTGTTAATTGACATTTTTTATGTAAATGAATGAAATCCAAGTTAATTGTTTGATATGTAAAATAAATTCATTTTGTTATGTCATTTGATTTAATACCAAATATATTCATTCCATTTATTTGCTCGTGCAGGTAAGGTTGTTTATCATTATTAGTTTTGGACGAGAATTGCTTGCTACACGCAATTTAAACCTAACATTTATCTCTTACCAGAGCCACATCACCGAATTTCGATCTTTTTTACAAAGGTACATGCTGTTTTTGAAAGTTTGAGCACAATTTTTGAAGAAAAAAACCGGCCCTCCATCAATAATTTTACAGACAAACACCATTATGGCCCTTCAAAATAGTGAAAATATACAAAAATACGACGACATGAATTTAAATGATCAAAAAATTACTCTAAAAAATAAATCTCTATTGCTAATTTCTATTTCTTGGAACGGTGTGTTTTTGTAATATTATTAAATTAAAAAAAAAATTGGCACACAGAAAAAAAAGCACTGGCTCCAGTGAAGAGTGAACATTCACTTTCAATTTTTTGAACAAAATATATTTCAATTTAAAAAATCGCAAAAATCACCAGTTAGTAGTTACTCGCTGAAAATTGTCAAAAATTATAAAAATATTTTACGAAAAATTGGTTGATTCAGAGACAAAGCATGCCGATGTAAATTTTGTGTCGAAGCCAATAAAATCACTGTGGCGTATCTTTGACTGTGGGTCTTCTACTTTATCTCAATGAGCTTACATATTCGGAATTACATTGGAACTCGCTTTAAGAAATATAAAAAAATCCCCACAACAGCAAGAATTCATCGGAGAAAAAATGCGACTAAATCGAACCAGCATTGAAAATAATTATCAAAGTTTTACAGTAAATTTTGTAAATATTCCAGCGCAAGTTTTGCATTTTAATTTAATATCGGTTCATATCTTGTTTATATTTTACTCAGGCAAATTGTTGACAACACACAATCAATTTTATTTTCACTCTTTCTATCTGTGTTCTTGTCAGTAAAGAGAAAAACTATAATCTCAACAAATCGAAAGACAACAATTCAATCTGTGAATAAATACGAAAAAATTCTGAAAATGATGAAAAAGGATTGAAAAAATAAACAAACTCGGCCGGAAAACACTGAATTCAATTTTTGAAAAGTTGATTCAATTTGGGCGGGCGAACGAATTCGAATTTCTATCTATTGACCGGTATGTCGTTCACCAATACATATATCCATTGCCACTGTTGTGTGTTTTAAACAAACCGATAATGTTTAGCATAGCTGTCAAACATATCATGACAATTAATTGTTGTGTACGGCAACCGTGTTGAACGCTCTGACTTTGTCTAAATATTTTATATTGATATCGTTATTTAAAATGAATATTTAGCCATCCATTGTGCCTATCATAAGAATTGATCACATTATCTTAACGTGTGATTGAAAAGAGGTAAGTATTCACCATTTGTTTGTTGTATTTTCATGGCTCATTTGATTGCATGAAAAACTCTATGCCTGTCATTGATTGTAAATGGGCTATCTTTAAATTTTAAATTGCAGGCCAAATATTGCGTCATATAAAAATTGAAAAATGTCATCAAAACATATACCAACGGTAGACTCGGGAGCCAGTGAAGAATGTCCTTCGTTGCTCGAACGCCACTACATGTTCAACGGATGTAACTTTTGTACGCAAACATTTTCAACGGAGACCAATTTTCGATATCACAAATGCCACAAATTCAACAGTTCCCGTGAGAGAATCCCAACCACGAGTGACTTGCTCAACAAACGCCTAAAATTAAAAATGCAAGCAAAATCCATGGGATTGTCGTCGAAAGAATATAACCAAGTGCACCAGTGTAATTTTTGCTATGAAATATTTGTGAACGAAACGAATTTTAAGGAACACATGCAAATGCACATTATGAACGAAATGATTGAATGCGATATATGTGAAAAGCGACACGTCAGACAGGATGAAGCGGATGAACATCGATTGAATCATTTTGCAACCGATATAATGCAATGCAAATATTGTCCACTAAATTTTAAGTATCGCCAGAACTTGTGGAAACATGAAGTAACGCATAAATGGATTGAATCGATCGAAATACATTCGCCACTCGAATGCAGTCCTTCGAAATTAATTTTTCAAAGTGTTGACTATCAAACTATGCCCGTGCATGATCAAAGCGATAGCAGCCAACAAATGTCAGATGCAGAAATTGATGATGATGATGATGCAATGATTCTACCAGATGATTCAAATATCGCAACTCTAAGACTCAGTGAACAATTGATGGACATTCAAGCAGTCGACAATGAGTTACAACGTGCAAATGATGCACCCATCACAATCGGCTCAGACCGAATTTATATGATCAGTTCGGATTTTGATTCGAATTGTTTATATCCAATTAAATGCGATTTTTGCGATGAAACATTCGAAGATTATTACCAGAAACGAAACCATGAATGTTTCGTACATTTGGAGCTAAGAGTGGAACTGTGCCCAATTGAATATGATCCTGAATTGACGGCAATGTTGGAACCATCTACGGTCGTCCTGGAAATTAGCGACGATGAGATAGATGTATGATACAAATTGATCGATTCAATTCTGAACAGAAGACAAGACATACATAATAAAACGTAAGATTTAACCGAAATCAAATAAACCAGTCATGGATAGGAGGCTTGGGAATGCTCTGAACAAACTTATTAAGACAATGAAATATCAAACATTTTTTATATCTCATAGATATTTAGTCCATAATAACATTGAACATCTTCAATTGTCCAAATAAAAAGCAAATATTTTATGTGTTTTTTTCAACGATCGAAATATTTTAACCTTTTTATTATTGAAAAAAATATATAAGTTTTCTCCACCGTTATACGCTGTCATTGGTATCACCTTCATGGGACACATTAAGCAAACGATGAAGTAAGCAAAAAATGAAGTCGGGAATGGATTGAAGACGCCTACTGCTGGACTGAATATGGACTATGGAGCCATTTCACTTAAATGTTGATAGCTATCAATGGATGGTGGACGCTCAACCAAAGATGGTGCCGTCAATGGTGTAATCAAATATTCTTTTCAATCATGTTTATTGACACTGTTTTCATTTGGTTTATGGTCTTGTGGTGTCGATCGTTCGTGATATTTGTAAACACCGACTATTCTCGACGCTTGAAGTCGCATTGCTGTTTTTCTGATGACGATCACTGTGTGGAATAAGTCATAAAACAAAAAATTGATATAAACATCAAAAAGGTGTAAACAAAAAAATGAAATATCACATATTTACCGTAAGAGGGATACTCAATGCTCACTGATTGCCATTGTATAGATTTGTTGCGCAGAAAACGATGACGTTTATCATTTGCGGTTTGTTTTGATATGAAGTTTGCCGCTTATTCAGTTGAAAGAGGTACGAATTGGTTCACATTGGCACAAACATTTATTTAACGCTTCGGTTTTAGACATTCTTTTTTGGTTTGAAATTTTTTTTTTTATGGAGAACATTGCAGAAAGATGTTGAGATAAAAATGTGAAGACAGAAAATATTGGGACACACAACACAAGCCGAAAGGTACACAATGTTTGGATTTGACGTGGCATTAGCCACAAATACATATGCAAATCGATGACAATGGCGAGACATAGAGAAATGGAGAGCATGTATGTGTGTTATGTGAGCAAGGCTGTCATGTTTTGGGAAATGAAAAAAGTTCATAACAGCAAGTCGGCCTTGTACGTCACAGCAGTTGGAAAAATCGAGGAAAAACGTAAGTAAGTGACTAACAATGGTGACTACATAAAACAATACTTTCTTTTGGTAGATTGCGTGCAATGGTGTCAAGTAACCAAACATCCGTACATTTTTCTAAACAGAATACAACTTAGCAAGCCTCTTACTGTGGTACTTTGGTTTTGAAATTTATTTGATATTTTTTTCCTCTTTTGATTCACATTGACCATTTTTATATCATTTGTTTCAATTAGATGATAGAACTGTCGACCGGTTTGATGACCAATCGAACAGAGTCAGGTTCAGAATCGATTCGAAGCAAGTTGGCGGATAGTCGCCGCTATCTATTCCAAACTACCGTGAAAATCTGGAGCTTTTAGTGGAAGATAATGTCAAATTCAACCAATGGCTAACGATGAAAGCAGATGTGATCAGTAAGCCGGTAAGTCATTCAACAGCCGGTAAGTCATTCAACTTCAAGCAGTTTAATCGAAGTCCAATTGGAATTTTTAAGAACGCTCAAAATCCCGGTAGGCTATTATTGAATCGATTTTGATTTGAATGCAAAACCGACTACTTTCGTTTTTGGGATGAAAAGTACTAGTACGCCAATATATGTATGGAAGTTCCATATGGCAATTTTTTCACCGAATTTGCTTCTATTTCAAAGGCCGTTTTCTGCGATATTAAATTTCAAATAATTTTTTCACCTCACACCTTTGGGCATGATTTGAGTCGTCAATTTTCGATTGAGTTTAACAGATATATTAAGCTTATATTTATAAATAGAAAAAATCGATTTATTTTTAATGCGCAGATCTTGATCAAGCGATGGTTTATATTTTGAAAGAATATAATTCAAATTGTCGTTTGTTTTTTCTCTCCGTGGTCTGTTGCATTACTTCACCATTTACTCACAACAGACTGGAAGGTTTTTTCCAATGTGGACAAGAAAAACAGCAGTTAGATTACGTCTAGACTTTTTACACGTTGTTTTGTTCAATTAGCTGGATTTTTATTTGCGTAATTTGGTGCACAGATGTGACGTGCACCAAACATGAACGTGAACCAAACGTATGTAGACAATATGATGGCCATTATGCCTATTTTGGGATTTACGCATATTTACACAAATGTGGAGAATAAAATTTAATTGAAGCACCAAATAAATATTCACAGTATATGGGCGAATGTACAATCAATTGATTGCAGTCATAAAAGAGCTTATCGAACGATTTAGTCTACTAACTCTTCATTTTTTCTTAACCTGTTAAATAATTATATATTTGCCATAAAATGGATAGCTATACATTAAAAATAATGAACAAATCAACCTTTGCTCGGAAATATAAGAAATTCAATTTTATTTTGTCGTCATATCGTTACCAAAAATTGTTTAAATTTTTTGCATTTCTAATTTTAATTACTTTGATGATATTGATTTTGTTTCAATTAAGTTTTAAAAAGTATTACGTGAAATATCGGCATGAAGGTTCGGTTTTTAAATTTTTTAATTTTTTTTACATTGTAATTTTTTAGTGACAAAAATGTGTTTTTTTTTCTCGAAAAGTCAACTGAAAAATAATTATAAAAAATATTTATCTATTTTAAGCCAAACAACCAGTATGGGAGATACATCACAATAGAAGTATTCCCCACTACATATCGCCAAGCGAATATACGGCGATCATAGATCCACAGAATCTGTTCAAAGAAAATGAGCAAGTTTTATTGCTTTTTGTCATTTTTTCGAATCCGAACCATTTTACAGCGAGGTAAAATTACAAGAAATTTGGTATTTGAATTTTTTCAAAATCAAGTGTATTAGAAAGAAATTAAGTTATTGCGAAAATCGCTTCAAAAAATTAGTTTTTTGTAAACAAAAATTGTGGAGTTAAGTTAATCACAGTTCTCAAACTCAGTGGGCGTGTTGCAATAGGTTAATAAACCTGAGCAACGAGGAACTACGGATATTACTGAAAAGTAGACCTAGTATACTCCCCGTTCTAATCCAATAATCCAAGAAAAAAAAATAATCACAGTTCATTTTTCACCTATTAGTGAATTTTTTAAATTTATACAAGTTTCTCAAATATTTTAAACGGTCTGCATTTTATTACCATACTTCATCATTACTATTCTGCATTGCTCAAAAGATTTTTTTAATTTTTAAATTTAATTGCAATTTTTCACCTTCGAGTTTATGTGAAAAAATTTTTTTATAAAAAATTTATTAAAATTTTTAATTTATTTTCAATTTAATTTTTAACAATATTTTTTCCTTGTCATCACGTGTACATTTTTATTTTTTACAGAGAAATATTGCGGCAAACATGGGCAAATACTTCCGAGTTTAATTATTCGCAGTTTTCGAAAATGCATGGACATTTAAAAGAACAGTATTTACCATTTAATCATCCCGAGTGGAAAAGATACGCACATGAATATGACACAAATGTATGTTTTCCATTTAATTTTTTTTAATCAAATTTGATAAAATATTTTTTTTATTATTGTTGAAGTCAAAATTCTTTGGACATATTTTGTTGGTCATTTCGAAATCAATTCAAAGTGCAGAGCTGTTATATGCACTGAGGAGCTATCATCTCCACCTCACTGGTGCCCCCTCCTCCTCCGGTGCCATTAACAGCTCTACCAAAGGCTATTTACATGTCTGAAATATTTTTTTTATGAAATCTATTCCATCTATGAAGGAAATAATTGACGGGTCAGACTTTGATGCGGCAAATTTTCGTATTCGACGGGTATTTCTGATTGGGCAAACTGAAACTGAAGAAATGCAAAATCAAGTGCTTGCAGAAAGTCAAAAATACAACGATATAATTCAAGAAGATTTTGTCGACACCTATAAAAATTTAACGCTAAAAACAGCAATGATGATGAAATGGGTCAATAATAATTGTGCTGAAAAAGGTATGTATTCACTTAAAAAAAAAACTTTCCCCCACTATGTGTACGGAAAAGTAAAAAAATTCTGAAGACCTTCATACACAATTGAATAAAATTGCTTAAAATGTACCATTGAATTTGTCAGTGAAATTTATCATGAAAGCTGACGAAGATACCTTCGTGAACGTGCCAAATTTGATTCATTTTTTGCTTGGTGGCACCATTCCGGTTTATAATGCCACCCTAAATCGTTATGTTGAGCAATATAAGGAAAACATCATGGATGTATTGCATTCAAACAGTCGTTTGAGCTACGAAGAAGACCTATTGATCGGATGTCGCTTATGCAGCATCATGCCATGCTCTGTTCCAGAAGATAAATGGTAAAAAAAAACCTGATCAATTTAAGTAAAATTATCTACAAATAATATCGTCTGCAATTTCAGGTTTTCACCGCCGTTCATGTACGATCGAGAAATATTTCCGATATTTTTGGCCGGTGGATCTGGATATGTGTTTACAATGAGCACGGCAGCCAAACTTTATAAGGCGTCTATGGAAGTACCACTAGTTTTAGCTGAAGATGCTTATTTTACCGGTTGGTTATTTGGAACATTGGTTTTTCTGTCGGATTGTGTACTAAATCTGATTTTATTTTGATAGGCATTTGTGCAGAGAAAGCGAAAATTCAACCAAAGAATTTCCATTTGTTCAATAATGGATATTATTCGGATATGTGCGATTTTTTAGGCGGAATAACACAACATCAAACCGAATTAAATGTACTGAAATTCGTGTATGACATCATCATGAATTCGGATTACAGATGTGCAACGCCACCGAATCAAATCGAAACCGATATAAAAGATTCAACCGAAAGCTGTTCAGATAAATTCGCGTTTAGACATCCGAACGGCAATTGTGCAGGAACCTTTTATAATTTACCGACCAAAAATATTGACCTAATAAGAAGCATAGGGTCTGCATTTTGATTGCATTTTTGTGGTTGACTCTAATAAATAGAAAAGAATTGTAAAATGATGTAGTTTTTTTTCTAAGACAGCCAATCTTGAGACATTCTTCGGAACATTGTTTTTCATGCCATTCTCAATTCCAACAGAATCTGATATAATAATATCCTCCTCTCTTTTTCACAAACTGAAAAATGTAATAAATAGCAAATAGACACGTGCGTCACGTAACATGCTGACTATATTGTTGACGATAACGTCGAGTGTAACGTCAAACCTGAAAACGAATTAAACAGAATTTGTGTGTTTTGAATGTTTTCAACACGTATTGTAAACAAATTGACTCGGTGACGCTAGATATAAATGCATTGTCTGAAAGACACGGAAAATATTCCAGTCTGTTCTTTCACCATTGACGTGTTCACTGTGATAACACTCGATGCAACATCTTTGTATTTAAACTACCAAGAAATTTCATCCCGTCACCAATTTTCTGTGTTGTAACGAGGACGCACCAACGATTACGCACAATAATTCAAACAATAGCATGTGATGAGCGAGATTATTACACAATATTTGCAACGTCTTTCTTTCTCTCTGGATTTTAATTAAAATAAAAAAAATTGATTTGAAGCCTCTCATGATTTTTATTCTTAAAAGCAAATTCCAAATTAAAAAAAAAAAAAAACAAAATGTCGTTCTTTGCAAAAAAAAATGTCAAATTTAATGAATTGGAACTAAGCGTTTAGTTTGGTCTATGATGGACTGGTTGCATTTCCGTCAATTGCGGTGTAAAGCCTCGGTTAGGTTGACTTTGATGATAGTACCTGAGAGGAGAATCACAAAAGAAATAATCAACAAGTAATCGAAATAATAGAAACATCTAATGAAAATGAAAATACCCATAGACTCTGCGTGTTTCTGATTGTGCGCCGGGGAAAACAATTCTGTCAGGGTCATGGCTGTATACTCGATTTGGATGGACATTTGATGGTGGTGGATACTGAACTGTGTTTTGGGTTTGACCATGTCCGAAGTTAGGACGTTGGGGTGGTGAGATGTTTCCTTGATTTTGTTGGATCGTTGAATCGGGTTGGAAACGTGTTGGATATTGATCTGTATTTGTACTTGGTACCAAGTTTCTTTTTTCTGTTGTCGTTATAATCGATTCACTCTCAAAACGAGTATGAGTTAATTCCGTTGGCTTTGTCACAACAGCATCCGTAGTCGCCTGAGTATCTTGTTTCGATGATGTCGTCGGGTTATTGTCGCTACTTTCAGTGTTTTGAACTTTCTGTTTCTTCGCCGCAATATACGGAAGAAGTAATTTCTTCATTGAATCGCTAATAAGCATGCCCTCAGTTTCATCTTTTTCATTCGCCGACTTTATAAACGACTGATAGTATTTTCGATTGTAACTTTGTGGCATTTGATATGGACGTTGTGTAACTGTCAATGTTATTGGTTGATCATAAATTGGCATCACTGGCTCTTGATCCTTGGAGTATTTCAAATAAACTCTTGTAGTGTCTTCATAATATTGCGGTGATTCTTCTCCGAAACGACTTTGATTTGGATCGTCCGCTAGCATATCGTCTGATGCATCTAAATTGTTATTGACCGGCACATTTTCGATGGGCTTCGGTGTAGATGATGGTAAATTTAGAAAGTATG